TGTGCTGGCTGGAAATGAAATGGTTGTACCGCTGCAGTTGGAACACTTAGTTGGAATCTGGTGATAATTTGCAGCGGTGAGTGTCTGGGCTGTCGCTTGCAAGCGGGAGAGGCTGTCGCTTGAGGGTGGTGAAGGCTGCCGCTTGCCTCTCATGCCTTAGTATTTTTCAGGACGTATTCTGGGCGTTTGCGAGCGGAGGTGGCTGTCGCTTGTGGCGTCTGCCTTAGCTTTTCTGGCACCAGACTACCACTTAAAAAGGGCAAAAATCGTTAATAATCTCAACAACGAATTCTGGATCATGTCAAGCAATATAGATCAATAATGTATGCCATTAATGAGTCATTGTGATGGTTTTTATATAGAAATTCAAGTAATACACAGTTTCGTCAAACTAAGAATATGCTCATATTTGGAGTCATCATTAAATTACAAGAACAAATACTAGTAACACAACAAATTTACAAAAAAATTGCAAGTTCTGATAATATTTTTCAACAATTATAACAATCAAATCCATAGAGAATAACTGCAGACATGCCTAACTAGAAACACTACTCATATATCTCACATCATGATTACATCTACATTGTTCAGAATAAAGGTAATTCAAGTGACAATGGGGAGAAAGTTTTGGGGACAGTGCATCATGGATTCTATGCTGAACCACATGATTTTGGCTCAGTGTATCATTAGAAGTTTCTACATATTATCAAGAAGATTAGACATATTGCAAAACTAGCAAAAAGGGTGCAAGTCCAAGTTCAATGCTGCACTTGGCAAAATATAATCTAATATTTTTCTCTTCAACCAACATTTTAACTATTTGCAAAATTTAAAACAACATTGATTTGTAATTTATCAATGAAACAACCAGACTGGTAAATATAGCTCCTGAAATTTTCAAAAAGCTAAACGAGATATCAAATTCAAAAGTAGCTAAGAATTCAAACTAATATCAATTAAAGAAGCTCTCGGTCAATTCATAATGTGCAAACTTACTCACACATATACGATGTCTAATCAAAATACACAATTCCATGAGGTTGGAGTGTTATAGTGTGCCTTCCTGTTGTGAGGTCATTGGTTCAAACCCCTGACGCCTCAGGTCACCTGTCACACATGGTTCGCTTAGTGTGACTTTTCCCTCAGGCCTAGTATGCAGGGTATTAGGTTCGGCCGGGGGTTTACCGAATGCGCACTTTCGGATAGCGTTGCGGGTTCCCACGTCATCCAAAAAAAAAAAAATAACTAGTTCAATAATATAAAAAAATGTTATTCCTAACTCATGGCTATCAAAATAAGTCTCTACTGTAAGGCCTAAAATAGGAATCAATCAATCAATATTATTATGAGGAACTTAAATAGATCAACAAGTCATATATTAGGTTCTTGAACATTTAAAAAAACTAACGAAAACATGATACACAAAAATTCTCGAATTTATTGTCATAATGTCACAAATAGTTACAAAACTATAAAGCGTAGTGCATAACTTATTTTTAACTATGTAATTAATTTTTTTTAGTTGAATAGTTCATTTTAACAAAAAAAATAAAATTATAGCAAATAACTTTGTAGAAAAATAAGCATTTTTTTTTTAATGGTTGTTAAGGTACAAATAGAGCATTTTATTTTATATAATATTATATTCAAATAATTATTCGAGTAAATATACAAATAAAAACAGAAATGGAGCAAATGAACAGTTGCTTTTTCGAATACTTCGGCAGCTAAGGATAGAAAGAATACAAGCATTGATAATTTTTTAAATGACATATCCAAACATAGTTCATCACATGTGCAAGTATAATTTGCACAATTAAGTAATGAGCAAAAAATATGAATTACATGCAAATCAACCTAAAAAAAATATATGGTATAGCACGAATCAGCTTTTCAAAGAAATGAACGATAATATCATCATGTAACACACCATGTACCACAATATAATTCATATTTAATTGTCAAAGCCTGTGGAACAACCTTCATTCACACGACATGGAGATCGATTAACAACTAGGTTGTTTGTTGTAAGTATAATAATATACATATAACAAAAGCATAATCCTTGACACAAAGAAATAAATAACTGTGGTTGGGCGGAAACTTTTTTGTATAGTATATTTTTTATTGATATCATTTAATAGAACAAGAAGACATTGCTATAACTAACTAAAATCTACAAAAAATGCAGCAACTATTTAAATTCATTTCAATATGCACAAAGCACAAGTAAGCCAAAACTCCTGCAGGCTCCTGAAATAATCTTATTAAGTTAAATTAAGCTCATAACTACCAATCATATATATATATATATACACACGCACAATTTTATCTTATCTTGTCTACTCCAGAGCAACTTGTCAATGCACAACATTTAATTAACTCACCTTATCATCCAAAGAAAATGGATTTGTTTCACATCCCATGTATAATAAATTTTTTGAATCATTTTTCCCTTATGCTCCAAACACATATTGCTTCTTTGAAAAGGCTTTCTTCGACAAGGTGACCCGTCATCCAAGACGAATCCGCGATAGGACCAATGTTATTGCTCAATGCCTCATAGATATATGGTTAATATTGAAAATTAGTACACACTTTAGCTGATTCCCCTCTGCCGGAATCCATATTTCTAGCACTCGATGAAGTATTTGCATTTGAAACTGGTTTAGAACTCAAGCTTTTCACTCTCATTCTTTTGTGCATGGTGCATCCCTTTCTACCCCTTAATAGGCGTTGCAATGCAAAGTGATCCATTAGACACAACTCCGCAGTCCTACAAGAATCTAGCAGTTAAGAAAAAATGCATTAGAATTAGGAGTGTCGTAGTAAGAATGCAATTTATAGGTCTGAAAACTCAAAGCTGATATGAAATGTACCACTTCATTGATCCACTATATAAAAAGCTACCATTTCCGTCCATTCACAAGTAAATGTATAAACTAAGAACTTAAGCAGAGATTAAAGAACCAGAACAAGAAGACATGGCTAAGAAATTGGATATGCAAAAACACATCTAGAAGATAACATAATCACCTTTCTATAAGCAACATAATTTTCCATAGGTTCATCTCAGGGACAACTTCGGTATATGATTTGACTATTTGAGGATTCCCCCAACACTTGAACTCGACAAGGGGGAGAGATTATTGGAGCCAGAAGCTTCACATTTCACTTGAAGATTAAAACCTTTGAAATTGGTGATGTATTGATTTTCTTTCGATGGTTAGCCAAAATTGAATATGCGTGCAACTCAAAAGAATAAAGAGTAGCATACTGGAGATAAACCAGCATGCAAAGCCTTCCTCGGATCACATAATAAAAATATAGAATAACAATTCACTCCGAAGAAATCCTAATATAACCAAAGATTTCAAATCAAATAGAAAAGGGAAAAAATTAATTTTGGTCACAATATAATCAAAATTAATCAATTTTGGTCCCAATATATAAAATTCATCAATTTTGGTCCCAATATAAAAAACTCATCAATTTTGGTCCCAATATAAACAATTTCAATCAATTTTGGTCTCATTATAAACAATTTTTATCAATTTTGGTCCCACCGTTAAAAAACTAACGGAAATTGCTGACGTGGACATGACGGAGGTGACGTGGCAGTTGACCTACGATGTACAATTATACACGGCCATGTTGTTACATAGCCATGTATATTTCAGTGTATAATTATACATTACCATGTTGTTACACGACCATGTACAATTATATACGGTCATGTTGTTACAGGGCCATGTATATTTCAGTGTATAATTATACATGGCCATGTTGTTACACGGCCATGTACAATTATACACGGCCATGTTGTTACATGACCATGTATATTTCAGTGTATAATTATACATGACCATGTTGTTACACGGCCATGTATAATTCTACACGGCCGTGTATCTTTCTGCTTCGGTTGTTATATTTTTAATTTTTTTTTTGAATTTAGAATAGTTGATATAGTTAAAATGGAAAAAAATAATAATAATCATAATATAATTAAAATATATCAATTTTAGTTCAAATATAAGTATTTATCGAGTATGTTCTTTTGAAAGATTTTGTCTAAAATTATACTATTTAGCAAAAATTTCAATACATTAATTGGATGTTTGTAAGAGAAATTTTTTTGCTAAATAGTAGAATTTTAGACAAAATCTTCCAAAAGAATATACTCGATAAATACTTATAAAAAACTCATCAATTTCTGTCATGTCCACGTCAGCAATTTCCGTTAGTTTTTTAATGGTGGGACCAAAATTGATAAAAATTGTTTATAATGAGACCAAAATTGATTGAAATTGTTTATATTGGAACCAAAATTGATTTTTTTCGCTATCTATATATATATATATGTAGTTATTACGTATATATTAATAGCGATATTTTTTGTTGCGGCTTGAATTGCGTAACAAATATATATGACATCGTACTATCTATAGTTGTTACGATAAAATTATCAAAACAAATAAAAAAAAAAGTTTGACCTAACATTAAAAATTTTTGTTCCAACAAATTTCGTAACAATTTTTTTTTTTTTTATGACTGAATTTATTTTTACAGACAGTTTATTCGCTACAAAAAGTACTTTTTTTTGGTAATGAATGAATGTGTTTGACAAACAAATGACCTATAAAATTCCTATTGACGACCAGTTTACCCTTCTATTTTTTGTAATGAAAAATACAAAAATACCAATCAAAATCCTACATATTATATCCAGTGCCCAAAAATTTTGAGACTATTTTTAGACGATGGACGGAGTATAAAGTTGATATGATATTTTCAAAATAGAATAATACCAAAATTTTTAAAACTTGTTTGGTAAACCAAGTCTAATATTGTAACGACAACAAATTTCCATAAAATTTTCAATTCATTTAAAATGTAATATATAAATCATTACTGCATTTAGGCCCAAATAAAAGATAATTGGCCCAATCAATGCGGCCCATTTAGTAAAAACCTAAGCGGCAGACTAAACTCGTTAAAATAATTCATATGCTCTCTGCAACTGCAACGAACCCTAGCCCTGCTCGCTCACCTGCCGCATCCCCTCGCCCTGGCGCCGGCGCCGTCGCCACCGAAATCCCCCGCAAAAGATGGGTCGCGTCCGCACGAAGACGGTGAAGAAGTCCTCCCGCCAGGTAATTGAGCGGTATTACTCTAAGATGACACTAGATTTCCACACCAACAAGAAGATTCTGGAAGAGGTGGCTATCATCCCTTCAAAGCGCCTCCGCAACAAGATCGCTGGATTTTCCACCCATCTGATGAAGAGGATTCAGAAAGGACCCGTTCGTGGTATCTCTTTGAAGCTTCAGGAAGAGGAGCGTGAGCGCCGCATGGATTTCGTGCCCGATCAATCCGCAATTGAGGTCGATCGCATTGAGGTTGACCAGGAGACTGTGGATTTGTTGGAGTCGCTCGGCATGAAGGACCTGCCTGGTGTCGTGCTTAGAGAGGACCAAGGTCCTGTAGGCGTCGTCCCACCCGTCAGCTACGGTCGTGGTGGTCGTCGATACTAAAAGATACGACTCCTCTTTTGCTCAGTTAATATAGTATTCACTTTTGAATGCTGCTTGACAATGAGTTGCTCCTGTTTTAGATACATCGCTTATGCTCTATGGTACTTTTATCTATTATTTGTTATCTGTGAGACTACCCGATTTTGAGTTTTGGGAAATTATTTTTGATCGGTTATGACATGTTTTGCATTCAACCTTACTGTTTTTGAAAATATTGCATTCAACTGTTCTTGCATTCTTTCACTAATTAGAATAAAGCTGGGGAATTGATTGAATGGTGTTCGAAATGCACTAACTTTGAGGTAAACAATTCATTTGAAGCCCAGAATACTTTTTGTTCATGTCTCTATGCATGATTGGTGAAATTATTGTTTCAAAACTTGCTTTCTTGGAGTCTACTTCATAGCACCTCTTTGATGGCGTGCAGTTTGAATCATAAGAAGCTTATGGACTAGCTATGTATGGAATAATCGGATATTGTCTTTCCCTTGTTTGAAGTGGTTTTCAAATTTTCAGTGCTTAGTATCGCAGAAGATACTTGGTATTTTGATTCCTCGTGTTTGCTTTCCAGTGAATTTTGGGTACAGTTTTTAAGCGATATATTGGAGAATAACTCGCTTTCTACATAGTAAATCATTAGGAAACTTTTAGTAGGTGAGTGTTTGAATTAACTTTATTCTGACCATATTAAAATTTTGTTTTATCCATGACCATTCGATGTCGGAAGTGGTGTTCATTCCTGGTATGTTTGCATATGTTAAACTATGTGATAAAGAATATATTATGTCGTTTGCAATGCTTTGTGAAGTTCTTATATACCCATTTCTAAGATTCCTCGTATTGAATATCCCATTTCTCTCTTTAAAGTTTAATCTAACCTGAATTGTACTGAATTGCTTTGTTGGGTTCTGGTTTGGTGTGTTGTGTTTTTGGTTGTCTTAAATATTGCAAAATTTTGAATTGAGATATGTTTTAAAAGTAATCTATGATGTAATGTTTTGAATAAAAAACAATTCTCATATGTAATATGGTTATTGGAAAATAGGCTTTTGATGCCATATTTCTCAAGAGAAAAATTATGAACTCTATGTGAATAAAGGAGTTGTAAACAGGTGAAAAAACTTGATTCTAAGTGTAGTTAGGTTTGATAGATGATTTTTGAACGACAAATTGATAAACCGGTTGTGATTATCTTTTAGTCATTGGGTGAAGTCTATGTTGATTAGATGTAGAAATAAAATTGAGGTATTTTAATTATGGACTTTAAAGAGAATATTGACTGTTTGGTCGAGTGTATTTACAGTCGAATCGTTGACGTATTGGTATTATTTCGCTCTGTTATTATTTGGTCCGAAAATAATATTTTATGAACATAGGGTTGCTTCATTCTGGTATTAAATTTGTTATTTGTCAGATTTATGTGTTGAGGTGAAGTTACAAACATGATGAATAATTGATTGAGTGTTTTTTTTTGGGAATTTGATTTTGTGATATTTATTACTCTGCAATTATTATGATTTTCTATAAAAATAAACAAAATCAAATTTTGAATGAACACATCGTAGTGCATTGGGTTTTAAAAAAGCTTGAAGTGAAGATAAATGTTAGATGGGATGATTTTAGGGAGTAGTGGATGTTGCATAAGAAAAAGAATACACACTAGGATACACTCTCGTGCTACACGCAATTGTTTTATAATGTAGTGGTACATTAAAAAATATTTTGTTTGGGATATAAATTCAATAATTAAAGATGTAGATACAATAGATTCTTTAAAGAACTATTGAAATAAGAATATGTTAAGAACTAAAATCAGTTTTGGTCTTATTAGATATAACAATTATCATTTTTGATCCGTTGATTGTTTTTTATTATTATTATTATCAATTTTGGTTATATTGCAATTAAAATTTATCAATTTTAGTTTACGATCGCTGACAGGGACGGAAACACATCCATGACCATGTTCATTATCCTGTTTTGATCATGACTGTGTTCATATCTCTATTCACAGCCACATTTTGGAACCGGTCGTGTTTCAACCAGTAATTCTCAACACAACTATATTTCTGTTTATATTCACGACCTTAATATTAGCACAACTATGTTCCTGTCACGACACGGTTCTTAACACAATCATATACCTCATTTATTTTTGTATTCTTATTGAGCCTCCCTAAATCAAATGGAATATGTTTTTGGTGGCTACCCCAAAGATCAAGTTGTTGCTCTATTTCTTCAACTTAAACGAGATCATTCACATGGGCCATGCGTGTTACCTAAGAGAATTGAAATTCTTATAATTAATGCCTTACAAGGATAGTGTATGCTTGGGCAAGAAAAAACGATTAATGTTGGATATATAACAAGAAGAGCGAATTCGTCAGTTACTTTGTGGAACCTCCATTTGTTCAGCATTCTTTTCATTTATTTTTTTATTCACACAAAGATACTAAATAAATAACTCAAGGTATACATCAAGAAATATTTGTTTAAGAATGAGACACAAATACTTGCATAAGTTGGATTGCAAAATACATCGGTAATTGTCAGTATATTTAACTTTTCACACCTTCTGATAAATTCATTAAAAGAAGGGCATACAACAATACCTTTTTCCTCATGGTTCATGGACATGTAGTGTAACACCCCGGCCAGCTCAAATCGGACTGTCATCGCCATACCACACCGGAAGTCTTGTTCATCAATCAATGAGTCCTACTTTGTGGCGTTAAGACTAAAATAACCATTCTAAAACAACTACTTAGAGATCTAAAATTAAAGCGCATCGGCTTATTATTTAAATAAATAAGGTTCGAGTTAAAAATATAAGTTAAAAATAGTTCAAAAGACATTAGTTCTTAAACATTAATAATGGATTTCAAAAGCATCTTAGAAGGTAAAGTAGTTCTAATTCCCCCGATGGATCATATGACGTGAATGCATCATTTAGGTATAACAGAAGCATCATTACCTACAAAAAGGTTGTAAGAAGAGGATCAACACAACGGTTGAGTAAGCGCAATTAATCGAAAATAAATTAATACGGTATGATGCCACAAAATCAATTGAAGAAGATAATTTGAATAAGATGACACATATCACATAAGGATAACTCACACACATGAATCTTTTAGCGTCTCCCTTATATATCATTTTCATTCTCAAATAATAGTGATGAGCACATCACGAAGAAAACTCAACTAGGCCTTAATCAGGGCCGGCTTGACCCAGTTTTCCAACCTTATTACTTCGTTTGACACGTCACATAGTTACACATAACAAGCATAGGGTCACAACCCTCAAGGAATGCTCCACTATGTGTACATAAGGGTTTGAAGACCAAATGTACACGTAAGTTAATTTATTTATTAGTTTGCGAGGGGCGTCAAATGGCCCATAACCTTCTAGTCTCCAATACAACATACCAAGAGAAGATTGTACGCAATTCATCCCTCCATCACAGATGACGGTCTAAAGACTTTTCTATCGTGATTGACGGGCACCTCGAAATCACCCAAAAAGGGAACCTGCCATTTCGATCCCTTGACCTAGCCCATTCGGCTTCTAATTCGAGGTTAGCTAGTTATCCTAAAATACCGGTATACCCTCACGTGTTTGCAAGACACAGAGGTGGAAGGCTATGCCTTATCATCCAAATTTTCGACAAGTTGATTGGACTCGACGGGTAGTTTTAATTACCAATTTGACCCAATACTCAACATGCTCTTAGGCAAATTTAAAAGAGAGAGATTTAAACTTTGAAACATTCCAATTGTCAACATTTAACCAACCAAAAAGTGAAATATTAAAACCCAACAAGTTTGTTATAATCTCATTTTATTTCCCCAAATAAACATTAAAAAACTATGTCCATCCCAATAGGCATAAATCTTTTCTAAAAAAAATCATAACTAGGTTAGGGCAAAACTAGGGTTTCAAACTCATTCCACAAATTCTACGGTTTTCAATTTAAAATACTATAATAATCCTCACATCGTAATCAACTTTCTAGAAGAAATCGGAAAAACTAACACTTTTAGGGCAAATCCATTTGAAAATAATTTTGAAAAATATCAATAGAAGAGGTCTAGGGTTAGAACTATCATCTATCTAATATTAATCTCACTGAAGAGACCAAAGGAAAGAGTTTTGGAGAAAAAGAACTCCAAAGAAGAAGAAGAGGGGGGCTGGCGCTTCTGCTGCTTCTGTTCTTTTTATTTTTTTATTCTATTTATTTTATACTTTATTAAAAATAAAAGACTTGGGTCTTTATTATTTATTTTACCCTATTTGGTCCAAAATCAATTTTTACTCATAATTTAAACTCAATTTCTTAATTTCTTACATCAAAAGCTCAAAATAAATTAGGTTCAAAATAATATTGGCCGACTACGGCATCGGACCCCGATGAGCTCCGACGAACTTCAGGCGATTATTTTACGGGGTATTACATGTAGAATTGGTTAGTTGGTTTAGTAAGATAACCATACTTTCTCAATGTATTTGCTAAACCAACCATTTGTTGCACATCAAATCCCTCCAATATCTCAGTTGTGAAGCAACTACCAAGAGAAAATTAGATCAATTATGACATAAAACTATAATCAACATATGGTATGTGAAGTTATCAGTAAAAACACCATTGGAAAAGGGAATAAAACAAATGAATTGTCCATATAATTTACACTAACGGATGTGTCAGTTCAGACAAACAAAACCCGAAAATATGTTGCAAACCTTACATTATTCTGATACTCTCAAGCTGCCTCGGAGGAGATTGAATCACCTTCTACCAAATATATTATCTTTTTAAGTCCACATCTCTTAAAAGGATTTCATTTATAGAAGAAAAATAAAAATAAAAAAATTATTGATCGGGCATATGCTACAAAAAATCACTCAGAGCAACAAAAAATTTTGAACTTTGCTAAATACTTTTCAAACTTGACATGATCTATTTTATACATGTTTTATCAACATAACAGTGGTGTATAGAAGGTGCCATTTTGGTGTGCCAATAGTCTCCAAAGTTCACAACTTCATACGAAAAGATTGACAACATGTTAAGTGAAATTGAAGAGAACAAAGTAAAAGGTCACCTCGAATTGATCCTGTAAATTTTTAGTCACTGCATCGTAAAATAATCATCCCACATCTTCTAAATTGCCAAAAAAAGCCTACATTTACTTGC